GGAAGAAAAGATGAAACTGCCGATGGGGGAGGGGGGGGGAGATGGGCAGGGGCGCGGGTTCTCGGGCGAAATACCTGCCCGGACCCTACCGCCAGGGGCTCTGGAAGTAGGGTTAGACAGGCTACCGTCAGGTGCCCTGGCGGTAGGGTGTGACGGAGGGGGACGGCGGGCGTCTCCGTGTGCTGACGTGGATTACAACCCTACTGCCAGGGCCCCTGGCGGTAGCCTGTCTAACCCTAACGCCAGGGCCCCTGGCGGTAAGAAAAAGGGTCAAATCCCTATTTTTTCCAACTGGGGTCAGATCCTGAATTTGTATCGCAAAAGGGTCAAAACACGAAATTTTACCGCGCCAGCCACTCCTCCACGCCAAACAGTACAAACGGCATGCACTAGCTGCACTGTAGCACAACTAGTCTATGATCAGCTGGCCATCCGGGCAGTAGACATTTTGACCTTTCGCCGCTATGTACTGTTCCATCTAGTCTCCAATTTTTAAAAATTGTGAACTTGTATCTAACAGAAGCAAGATACAAAATTGAAATTATCGTTACAACCGTAACTCGCATAAACATACATAAATTTGATCATATTGTAACAATGATCATATTGAAGAATTCCAATAAAGTACATAATTATTTCTCCTAAATAAAACACAGATCCTGCAAGAGCTCAATAGCAGTCACACAATCTTGTGAGCTTTACCACAATTGTTGCGTCGATGGCCCAGCAGGGCCCAGCACACCACAGTTTGTGCACTTTGGTTCTTTGCGAGGTGCTTTCGGCATGTCACCGCATTGTGGGCAAGTGGTGTTCTTGTGACCTTCGACACGACATATCTTGCAGAACCTCGATCTCTTTATTGCTTTCTCATAAGGCGCCTTGTCCCTGCTCGTAGTTGGACTACCAGTAGGACGTTTCCTCTTCGGAGCCAGACTCATCCCCGATGTTTCATTGCGCCCGCCATCTTGTGCCATGCAACTTGACTCGGTCGCTTCAGCCAGAGCAGCCGCCTCACGATCTGCTACACCCATTCCATCCCTTATGGCGCATATTGCCTGTATCCTGTTGTTGGCTTGTTCAAGTAGAATCAAAGCCGTTTCATAAGCTTGGACATTTGCGGCACCTCTCCTGACAAACTCTAAAGCAGTATGGTAAAGCTTGGCATGACGATATGTATCATTCTTGACTCCACCTCTGTCATTTTGATACATCAACAGATTTTCAGGTAGTATGTCTCTAGAGTCCTTCGTCCACCTTTTCATAATATGCTTAGTAGGTATCTCTGACACTCTTAAATCCAGCATCACCTGTAATAATTTTTAAATTAAATTAATTTGATTCCTTATCAGAAAAACGTAAATAATACGCTAACAATTTTCACTTCAACAACATACCCTCACAACATGGCAGCAAAGAATCCCCGAGTGCTCAAAAAACCACACTCGCACTTGAATAACTCCAGTCAGGGCTGAAGCGATGGAAGGACCAGGCTCTGGCGACTCCGGCTCCCCGCGGGGCTACACGCCCACCTTGCTTCCATTGGCGCCGCCCGCCCTCCCGGCCCCGTCTGCTGGTGCCCCCGCCGCCCCCCTCTCCCCGCCTCCCCCCTCCTCATCGTCCCCTGGACCCCCGGGCAGGGTGGTCTAGGCGGATCTGGCTGAGGACGCCGACCGCGCTGCTGGCCGGCCGGTGGAGTGCCGCGACCAGGTGCCCCTGCCCGCCCCGGCGCGCCCGCCGCCATCCCGCTCTGCCGGTGGCCTTACTCCCGGGGGTGGGAGTTCGGCCGCCCGGCCGCGAACGGGGCCTCTCCGCCGGCTGCCGCGTGCTCTGCCGGGTGCTGGGGAGAAAGGCCAGACCTTAGGTCCCGGGAGTGGCCGCCGTCGCCGCCGGGACGCTGGCTGGGGTGTCGCCGGCCGTGCCGACCTCGGCCCCGCTCGCTTGTCATGGTGCTCCTCGGGCAGGCTCGCCCTGTCCAGGCCGGCTGCGCCGCCGCCGCCGGGGGTTGTCGGCTCCCCCGCGATTTCTCGGCGCTCCCCATTTCATCCCTTCATCGCCTTCTTCGGCTTCTCACGACTGTGATGTTCGACGTCCCCCCGATGCCCTGCCTCGCCTCGCCCCCCCTCTCGCCGGCCGTCGACCGCCTCTCCCGCGCCGACGGCGGCTGGGGATGCCCTAGCTAGGCGCATGGTTCCTGTCCCGGGGCTGGGCCGCCAGATTCTAGGCCAGCGGCCTGGAGTGGGCCTGCTCCCCTCCCCGCCCCGGCTGTCTGGCCCGCCTGGCCTGCCTTGGCCGGCTGGACCGTCCCAGCCCACTAGGGGGCCAACGCTGGCCCCTGCCCACCCCAGCCCCGCCTAGGGGAGGATTTGGCTCCCGAGAGGGTTCCCCTCCAGCTGCCTCCCCTCCCCCGCCCGCCCCCGCTCATCGACCACTGCCCCCTGCTCCCTCCTCCCGCACCCGTCGCCCCCTCCGTCCCCGCCGGCCGCCGCGGCC